ACGAGAGAATGTTACAATACTATACAGTATTTATAGTGAAACATTTCACTTACAACCGTGACAAATTCGCAATCAAGTTTTTCTTAGCAGCTGCACAGACATTTAATTGAACAGACTTGGAATACTGTAAGTAAGTCCATTATGCTGATAAACCTTGATCAACAGCAGGTGTACAGGGACAGTCTCAGGTTAGTGGCACAAGGTGTTCTGTACTTCTGTACTCCCGAGTTGCAGACTCATGTCATGAGATGTCCCATTCCTCTCACACAGCCTGGACAAGCAGCACGTGCTTGTTCCCTGCTCTCTAAGCCCTAGATGCCACATGTCTTCCCTGACTCATTCCAAAATTTCTCAAGACTGGAGAGCAGGGCACACGTGGTGTGAGACCATCTTTAATAAACAATGTTGAAAAACAAAGCTGTTCAGGAAAGAAAAATAAAACTGAGCAGTGAAATAACTCACTTGCAATGAGGGGGTCCACATCTCTGGCCTTGGTGGCCACGTCTGAGGCACAAACCTGCCCCACCTGGACCAGCAGCAGGGCCACATCGTCGTACAGCGGGGGGAAGGCACGGCAGAACGACACCAGGCAGGGCAAAGTGGGCATGAAGAACGCATACCTCTTCGCCTTGGTAAGAACTGGAAAAGAAACTCCATCTTAACAACATACACCCTTCTTCCAGTGCGCTCCTTCCTCTACAAGTAGAGAAGCATTTTTAACACTTTTGCCGAGGATGGTCTGGGAATTGGAACTCCTACATCACTGCTCCTGGGTTCCGGGTTCAATTATGTTATCCTGGTGTTTAGTTCTGCACTCCGGATTCTTTCCATCCTCTAATGACCTGCTGTCCAGGGTACCTGGCTTCTCTGAACTGCCCTCCACCTGCGCGTGTGTGCTTGCCCTGTGCTGGACTGGATTCCCATCTAAACCACAGTCCCACCTCACCCCATGAACATGTCAGGCGAGGTTCCAACTCGCTGTAATACTCTAAGGATAATGTGGTTATTAAAAATGATAGCATGGACATTCACAGACTACACGCTATCTTAAATACAGTCCTTTTAAAGCAGAGTTTTTTGTCCGGAACTGTATGCATTATTTTTTTTGCAAACATCTTGGAGAACATTGGTGCTGTATAATAATTTGGACTTTTCACAAAGGTGAAAATTAATCCTGAAATTAGCTCACACTGTACTGAGTCAAACAGTCCACAGGGAGGCAGTATTAATATGCTGAATACAGAAGGGAAAAAAAAAGATGTATCTTATTATGTTCACTGACACTCACAATTTCTAATCTAGGACTATTTAATCCAAGGCAATAAGATCTTCTAAATCAGCTTTCTAACAGCCACAGCAAATCCTTCAATTGTAGTACAATTATGACCCACTGGCATCTATTAATATACAAGACAAGACTGCGACAGACATCATGCATCAAACAGAGAAGTGTCTTTTCGTTGCAAGTTTTCTCTTGCATTGTCTATGGTATATTTAGCTGCACAGATGGTTGATTCCATGGACTGTAAACTACTGTTGCCGGTTATGTCTCATCGGCATGACAGAACAACCTTCTATTGCAAACACGGACATCCTTTTGGATTAAAATACTGGTTTGCTGAACATCTTATCTAAAGGACAAAGAGCAAGTCAAAGCATTACCTGTAAGCAGGGTGGCCATGACACTGACAGCTAACCGAGCCACACTGAGGGATTTAGGAAGGGCGTACTGTGTGCACAAGTGTGACAGGAGCTGGAGGGCAAATATCTGTAGAATCACAAAGGAAAAATGGTTTCATATGGAACACAGAAAAAACAAAATCAACAAAAAAAAACATGTTAATGTCTCAAAATACAGTAAGGTTTTTGCATGACCTGTTTCTCAAGCTGCGGCTGTGCCAGAAGTTCAGGAATGAAATCTAGACAGATGTGCATAGATGGGATGCCAGCCACAGTCAAGGAAAGTAGTTCTTGTGGGTATCCCTGAGAACACAAAGACATTTTCTTGAACAGGGTACATTACAGCACTGCTTGTATTATCTACAGAGCTAACACTTTTCACAGCTGAACTACATTTATCTAAAGTGCAACTTGCAAAACATTTGGCAGACTTAAGTATGAGTCTAAATATGGCACATGAAGCTCTGATGAAAAAAAAAATGAAGGCCTTCAGTAACCCTTTTGTGACTGATGTCTTTATCCGAATTCCCATGCTTTTTTTACAAGCAATCTGCTTTATGTGCCAATTAATACTGAATAACACTTGGAAGCCTGGGCTATATTTCCAGACGGGCTGTTGCATCTTTAAGCAGGCAAAACATGCACCTGGAAGTGAACCAGTTTAGCTATGTTGGGGTCAGCGATGAACATCTGGTGGAGCAGACAGCAGATGAGACACTGGACCTCTCGCAAGTTGCTCAGCAGGCCCCCGCCCTGCCCCTCTGCGCCCCCCTCAGGCTGGCACGTGCCAGGCTCTTCCTGTTTCAGGCTCTTGGGAGAGTTCTCCACACTGCCCCCCTCTCCCCTCTCCTCGCTGGTGGGCAAGCAGATCTCCAGCAGGATCTGAACCGCGGTGCTGTCCTGGAACACAGACAAGATGTATGGAGGCTGTCAATGTGGTGGCTGAGAGCCAGGCCTCTGATAGATAGCTGGGTGGAACAGATGTGGCTGTTGTACTTGCTATTTATCTTAATCGTGACTGGCAAAAACACAGCCAAACAGCTTTGAAGCTCTCATTTCATTGTCTCGCCTAACAAGGCAGGTAGGATGACCTGACTCAATATGAACGTCACCTTATTTGGAAAGATTCTTGCTGCAACCCCAGCTTGCTCTCCATGAGACACACAGGCACACAGACAGGGAGAGAGAAGCTTGGGGTCAGAGTGCAGGGTCAGCCATTTATACAGATCCTTAGCCACAGTGCCACTGCTCCGCCCATTAATGTATGGACAATAAAAAAATCAATGTATTTTAATAACACCATAGTACTCACAAACATTAACACAATTCGTATGCTTTTGACTCAACAGTAATTCAAATGAATAAACTACATGTTGATAAGGAATCCTAGGAAAGATTACCTGAGCAGCTAACAAAGCGTTTTTGAGCTCCTCTCTTGTCACCTCTGGGGTGTCTGGCTGCCCTACCAAGCCCAGACTGGAGACTGTCTGGGTCTGCCTGTCAATATCGGCCGTCTCCTTCAGGTGGGCATTTAAATAGGCCTTCGATGCCAGCAGGTAGCCATTCAGCATGTGCAGGGTGATGTCCATTAGCGGGGGACATCTACGATTAGAAGAATGTAATAAGTCAATTTGGTTTAAAATAAAATGTAAGCAGCTTAGTTCCTTTTTTTTCTTGCACACAAACCACTGGTGGTCTTATGCTTCAGGATCTTTGCTCTTTTCACCTTTGAGCAAATATTACATCACGCACCAGGCCAGAGTTCTTTAGGTGCTGCAGACCTTCAGCTCAACCTTGTTCAGTAGTTAATGGGCTGACTAGAACAGGGATTCTCAATCCTGGTCCGTGGGGTTCAAATACCGATGTGGTTTCATTCCATCTGAGCTTAAAGACTTAATTGAGCAAACAAGATTTGAACATTTGCACATTTTATTTCTACTCAGTAGGCATTTCATGTGTTAGTTATGAAATGCAATAGTTAAAAGGGTACTCCTACATGTTTAAAAGCTTCATACAGCCTAACACTACGAATCAGTCATCAATCAATCAAAGATCAATGAGTTAAACTGTGTAACCAAGTTCAGCTGGAATGCAAAGAAGCAGATCTGTGAGCTTTCAGGGCCAGAACTGAGAACTCCTGAATCAGAGAATATTTTTAATGTTTTTGTAAGAAAGTCTGATCGAAAAACACACCTTGCCCTATATTCTCTGACTATTCTCCAAGTCAAAATGGTGCAAAGTAGTGCATGTGTGTAATTGTCCACTTTTGAATTGTGCAGAACACTTACACAATGAGGTTTCAAAGCTGATAACATGTAGATAACCATTTTCCTTATGTACTGTAATGTCTACATGTTCCATACTGTGACAACATACTGTGACTCTGTTATGACTCCCACATCTTTTGTATATTGTCCAATGTAACTATGTCAGTAATGTTCATGCTCCTTTTGCACCTGTGTGGGTTTTGGATTTAGCAGGTTCCAAATTCCTGTACCTGACACGTACTGGCGAATAAAAGTGATTCTGATTCTTTAATTTCTCTTGTTTCTTTGCAATACCATCAATGTGGTATTCTGTTTACAGTACTGGATTCGTACTGCTCTGAGGCGGATCAGTATGGATTTCCACCCCTGGAGGAGTAAACAGCTTCTTAATGATACCACAGAAGAATGTCGGAGGAGAAGGAGATGGGGGCACCTGTAAACTCTCTGGTCACACCGTAGCACAATCAGAGGGTCAATCATTAGGTCATTCTGGGTGTATTTCTGCTGCTGCGTTAATTTCACCGAGGGCTGAAGTGCATTCACTGTCATCACCCACAACCTTAAGAAACAAAAAGTAAACTGATACAACTACGGTTCATGCAGAATAAGTGAAATTCCAAGCAATAGCAGTTATGTTTAATTTGGCTCCAGTAATGATAATGCATTCATCTAAATTTTAAAGGCAGGGCTACTAATGATGAGACTTTGTTTCAATCTATATCCAAAACTTTTCCATTCATGAGCTAACCAAATGGTTCACAGTGGTCCACCAAATTTAATGCATTTATAAATATACCCAGCGTGTTCCACAATTTAATTTTTCACTGAAGAAAGAGGGTTTTATTTTTACTGGATTTCTGACATAAATCAATGGGAACTTCAAAGGGTGACATTCTAGCAACGCTTTGAAATTCATTTCATGTCACCCCTCCCACACCCCAGAGGCAGCCACAGTGCTCAGGGTAAAAACGCAAATCTAACTTCCACTTGTACTTTATGGTCTTGTTAAAAAGTACAGTTTCCATTCTACAAATGTTTTATTCCTGGATATAAATTTCCCCCTGGGAGAACGTTCCTCATTGTGTATTTTTGGATGGCTAAACTGGTCATTAACAAGTCAAAACTGATGGGTTCTGGTCATTTGCAATGCAACTACGGTCAACCCACCCACTCCTGCTGCCAGGAATAACACCCGAATACAAACGACATTCCACACGCACGCTACTAACCTCCTGGGCATGACGGTGTTCAGAACCATCCAGAGCTTATTGACAGTCTGGAGAATCCTCCGGGAGACTCCTTCCGTGAGCAGCAGGCTCATGTCGGACACCAGCACCTCTGCGTAGGGGATGAGATCACTGGCAGGCAGCAGGGCCAAGTGCTCCAGGATCTGCATCAAATGAATGTTGCTGGATGGCACCATCTGGAATGCTGAGCGCAAGGGAAGCTCATTAGGATTCCGGTTAATACTCAGGGCTCCGGAATGGAATTTTAAATGAGCCACTTATCACAAAGGCTTAGGCCAGAGATATATTTTCACAGAGCACTGCAAAGGTCAGCTGCCACAATAACAATAATAAAGTCACACAATCCCTCAGTCTCCATCATGCAGAAGACACACTTATACAATCGTCTTGGAAAAGGGATTGTGGAATGATAGCCCTTTGAAACGATTCGTCTCCGTTTGCATTTTCACGTGGTCTTTGAGCAGGAAAGACGCTAGAGCCCCCTGTCCTCAAAGGAAACGGCAAGAAATGGGGAAAAAAAAAAAGTTTTTTTCTGATTTGTCATCATCAGTCAAGCTTATTTTATTAAACCGATTTCCGGTGCTGGGGGATGTCATATCAAGTGATCATTTTCAACTGCGAACACCAACATTTTAAACTGACATGTAAGGTATTTCCATTACTGAAAGCAGCACTACTGTCTTACAGCACAGGGATTGGGAAACACTGGTCTACAGTGTACTGCAGCTGTTAGTAATGATAGTGCTTCTTAGAATGTATCGACAATAAGAAGTAAGAATCAATGTAGGTGTTACTTTGGGAGAAAAGAGACAAAAAAGTAGCATTAAATTACACTTAAAAGCACAAACATGTCCCGATCCTCTATAAATGAGATACGGCGTCAGAATTGTTTGGTTTTTCTCTTTCACTGATTGTTTTTCCCTCCACGATGTCTGGAATCACAGAAACAGCCAAAGCTATGTCCTCTTAATTTGACTTTGACAACTGCAATTATGTAGTCAAAATAGTAGCAATAGATCTCGTTTTATTGCTTTTTAAAAGGTCTGGCTTAAACAGGAGAACTGCAAGATGTGGACACTGGAGCGAGAAATCAGAACGCCCCTCTAAACCCTCACTGAGCTTTCCGTTACCATCTTTAAGCTGCTTCTGTGTGTATTTCCTGGCGGTGCTGGTCAGCAGCATCCTCCGGAGCAGCGGGCGCGTGCCGGTGATCTCCTCCTCGCAGATCCAGTCCTCCACCATGCACAGGTGTGGGTAGTTGGTTGCCAGAAGGCGCAGAAGAGCAGAGTGCAGCCCTTCACAAAGCACACAGTGAGTAAGAACTGACTGCACCTATAAGGGTCTCAAAGTATAAGGAGTGAATAAAGGGGTCATATAAATTCTATTCAGAATTGCCGTTTTTCTCCATCCAGTACAGGGCGGAAAGCTTAAGAATCTATTGCATAAACAGGGATCTCTACAAGACGATTTCAACAATTTTTAATGCGAAATAATTTGGAAATATGTGTAGCTCTCCCCTGTGCCTGGAAAATGACACCTGACCATTAATTGCAACTGAGGGGTTAGAAGCTATGAATTCCATTACAGCAAAAAAACATGAAGGGACGTCTCTTATTTCTGACAGGATGGAGTACATCTGTTCATCTTCATGCAAATGAAGAAAGAAAAAAAAAAGAAAACGTGTTTCATAAGCCGACGTCAAACTTACTATGTTCGATTACCACTTAAATTAACTTCGAAAGACTAAAAAGTGTCATGATTGGGTGGGTTTGTTCTCACAGACACTTACCACCCAGCTCCTGTTGGAGTCCCTGCGCTTGACGGATCAAATACTTAATAGGAATTTGGTCCATCAGTGCAGCAGAATATGACTTTGGCTTCTTCTGCATGAGAGCTGTAACAATAACAGATTACTCCCTTTCACAAATTCTTCACAAAATAAAGCAGGGCGCACTATTACCAATTTCAAATCACCTTACCACAGCCACTATTAAAGAAATTAGTCTCGGAGGAACAGGAGAAATAAATCCTGCTTTTATCGGTGTACAGCAATTTTTCAACTGGTGTGCTGTGTACTGTTTTATTACCAGGATTGATTTGATTCTTTCTTTGAGATATTAGCAGCATAAATACCCACTACTACAATTTATAAAATGCAATATAACCAGAACTGTATCAAGATGGATAGGATCATTCAAAAACCTCTGGAGCTTTTCAAATAAAACCACAGACGTGGCTATAGAAATACAGTGAGAAATATGGCAAATGTGTTACTAATTCATAACGACATAGGAGAGAAAAACTAACAACCATGATTTATTTCTAACAGCCTGGCAACAAAACAGGTCACTGGGCCAGAGATTGATGAAGTTAAATGAAAGATAAAATTGAAGGGCAGAGCCCATCTTTTTCTCTCCTGCCTGTTAAAATGTATGCATCTGGCTGAGCGACTTGAGGAGTTTTACAAAGTTAATTCGTCGTTTTTTCACCATTCCCAACTGTAAATGACCAGAGCCCCTGCAAACCACCGCTAAGATGAACGCTGCCGTGTACATACCCAATGACTTCGTGTTTGCCAGAAGAGCTTCCTCATACGACAAGATGTAATACAGCACCAGCAACTGAGTCGTGATATTGTAACGTGAACGAATGCGACTGCTCTCCCTCTGAAACCAAAAGAAAATCCGACAACGCAACTAAAATTACACTGTGTTACATGAAAGCACATTCTCCCAATATTACCTTTTATTGTCAACTGGTACAGCTATGGTCTCCATCGCAAGTCAACACTGCTCTAAGGTCACAATACAAAAAACAGAACAAAACAGTGCTCTTAATAGCACAGTTGTCAATGGCCTTCAGGAAGAAAAGATGATTCTTATATTTTTAGTCTAAATTCAAGAAGTGCATTATTTTCCATTTAAAAGAAGCGCTAAAGGTCAATTCGTTCAAACCATCAAATCTAGCTAATTATTATCCTGCTTATTCAAAGAGGGTGAGTTATATCGTCAGAATACTTCGATCTCAACTTGGGCCGCGTGACAAGAGAACGGGGAGATGAGAAACACGAAAGAAGATGACCGCCTGGGCCGAGTGTTACACGAGGGGGAGGGCTTCAACAGCACAAAGACACGGCGGGTCGGGACCAGAACATTGCTCTCGGGACACGCCAAGCGTACTGCTGGTATCGGACACGCGTACCCCAGTCAGGCCCTGGAAGACGTTGAGGATCTCCTGCTCCGTGATGGGCTGGTTGGTGGCCTCAGGGCTGGCCTTGGAGGCGGGCGTCAGGATGGAGTTGATATAGACGTCAATCAGGGGCAACAGCTGAGTGTGCAGCGGGGTGGTGGTCTCGCACATCTGCTGGAAAATCCAGTCCTGGGACACAAAAAGAGAGTTTCATTAAGCAATCGAGATCCAGCTAAAAGTTTAAAACAAGTTCCTCAGTCTGGCACCGGTGTAACATTTAATGACTCATAGTAAAAAAACAACAAAGAGGTCAGAAATTAAAATTTACACAGTAAATGGAAACATTCATGGAAAATTTGAGTGTACAATAGTATTGATTGCTGTTAAATGCAGTGCTTTCTGGACATACCGTACACTTACACTGACCTGTATCACAGCCAATAGTATAAATCCTGGCAAAAGGAAAAGTTGGAAATGTGTGGAGAAGGGAAAATTACTTGTCCATAAATGTCCCACATTTTTTCCCTTGGTCAAAATGTATTTGTAGGAACATTTTTTAAGAGACGTGGGATATTATTTCCAGGGCTGAATCATATAACATGCCTTACCGATTTAAACTGCGATGCTTAAAAGAAAATAAAATCTCATTTTTAGAAAGTAAATGGCTGTCGCTTTAAATCAAAATTCATACAAAGAATACCTTGATAGAAACTTTGTGCTTTGTGAACGCTCGGCTTCTTAGAAGTTGATAAATGCAGTGGATGGGCAGAAAACCTGTAATGTTGGCACTCAGGTTGCTGGTAACAGGAACTCTTACTGCATGGGCTGTTACAACCTAGAATAACACAATCCCACGACAGGAGTCAAGTCACATTCACAAGACGCCTTAACAGATTATATATTTTAAACTACAGAACATAGCTTAAAGGTTTACCTTCAGTTTGAAATGTCAAGCTATACTTTAACACATACTGACAACACATGTAACATTTAAATTCTAATATGGAACTGCAAAGGAAAATTATAAAGTAAAAGAATATTATACACTACCTGTTCAGTGAAAATTTCTTGTGTAAAAATGGTCTTCATCTTACTCAGGGAGCTGGGTTTGATAGCAATCTAAAAAAAAAACCATTCGATTTTTCAGTAAGACTTTGGTAAGTGCATGAACTAAAGCGAGTAAAAAAAAAAAAAGTTCACAAAAAGATAACATTCATAGCAAAAAGTGTATATAACCTGTGAAAAACTGACCACAAGGTGATCTGAAGCATATTTTAGACAATTTTTTTCACTCCAAAAAGTATCCTGAATAAAACAAACTTTAAAAAAAATAAATAACTCATTTAATGTTTTCAGAGAAAGGTCCTCAAATTGAACAAATAAAGAACAAAAGGTACATTTAGAAGAAACTCTAATTAAGGTTTGGGTAAATGAACACAAACAGTGTCCCGCAGCTGCAATTCAATAAACAACACAAAAAAGAAGCTAAAAATAACACACATGCGCAGGGAGAATGGGACAAAGTCCCTGCCTGTCTAGGGCCATCGAAACAGACAGCACTTGGGCGTTATGCATACTGCATTTCTCATGAGGAATGTTTTTAGCCAGGAAATTGATTTCCACATTACCTTCATCCCTAAAGTAGAGCAGACCAACTCAATGATGGCACTGAGCTGGTTGCTATGGAAATACATGGCAACCAGCAACAGCATCTCTCCGAATGAAGCAGAGACCCCTGCAGCGCTGAAATGCAAGACAGAAGACCAGGATTTATAAGCCACAAAAAATACATCTTTGGACCTTGGGGGAAGACAGCATGCCTTCATAAACTGATTATGCCAGTACATTTACCCCCTCCCAAATCTTTACAAGGTCCAAATGACTTCACATCGAAAGGATTAATTAAAGGCTTTTCAACACTACGTAATACATATAAAGCTGTACACGCTGTAAAGGCAACAGCCCTTTTATTAACTAGCAAACAAACTACACGTTTGAGTACCCTCATGATTTTAAAATCACGCCCCAAGACCTACGTCTTTACTGATGTGGTTATGGCAACAAATTATTAACTAGCAGGTTTGTAAAACCGCTGCAGAGTTTTTGAAAAGGACAGATGTTTGCAGGGACAATTTTTTTTTTAAATATTTTAGAACCATTTCTCCAGAGCTGTACCTCTACTTCACAGCAAACCTTTACGTTTGCCACCTTGATTCCTAGCTCATAGCCTGATCATCTCTCAACCTTCACATAATACGTCGGTGAGACATTAGATCTCTGACTCGCACTCCAGAAAAGCTCCACATAAGATAACAAAAATAACTTTCTTCACCTCTCAAAATACTCCTCCTCTTTAATCATCCAGCTGAGCCACATCACCATTAGCTGTTCCTGCTCAGGAGTGCTGTAGAGTGGAGAGGGGTGTGTGAGACTCGCATACAGAATCATGTGCACGACTACAACAATGATCTCACATCTGCAAAGTACTAATATGTTCACTGGCGCCATTCACATTTCCTTGAAGGACTGACAGCTCTCAGGAAACAGACTGATCAAATATAATTAGAGTGCATCGTGAGTCACATTTTAAAACAGCTGCAAAGACACATGCAAGACTTTTTATTTTTTTAAATAACTCCATTTTAATTTCAATATCTTACAAAATATTATCCATGTCAAATCCCATATTGCTCTTGGGAAACAAGTAAGTTTTTATGCATTGGAATTTGTAGCAATACTTATGATGCACTAAAACACATCTTGGGTCTTGCCTGTATGTGTCTGTGAGAACACCCACATAAGTCAGTAACGATCAAACCTGGAGAAAGCTCAGCAGCTGAAACATTGCTTTTCTTCTGTCTTCTCTTTAGCATGGGATTATCATTTGCTTGTCCCATTGCAGCCATGCAGACGCATCTCCCCACTCACTCACACACAGTGCTGAATGCAATGACAACGGGGCTGCCAGTGGTTACCTGACAAGGGTGGGGAAGGCCAGCAGTTTGCAGAAGGACAGGGAGACGAAGCGCACGCCGGCAGGGGTGGCGGGGGGGCGGCTGGTCATCAGCTGCAGGAGCTGCTCGGCCTCCTCGTCGGTGGGCCTGCCGACAACAGCCCGGGTACAGGAGAACGGCTCAGTTCGCCGCCGGGGCACAGGTCAGCCCAGGCAGGGGACGAACCCGCAGCCATCAACACCCACCCCCAGAAAACACGCCCCTGCTGGACCGGGAATAAAAGAACCCAAAAAAAACCCCCCCAAAAAAAAACAGATCCCCGCTTCAAAACATTCCTTTTCGGCTTGGAGCCTCACTGGACCTTTAATGAGAAACTACACCGCTGATGTTAAAGAAAATGGAGACTCTTTAAATATACTGAGTTTATTTTAGAGGCCATGTGTAAGGTTTCTGACATTCCTTAGCTGTCCTTACATAAATGCTAAACCTTCTACTGATGCAAATCACAGTGATCAGAGGCATGTCCCAGGTGTATCACTGCAAAAACAACCAAAAGCTCTTCCAAGATTGAGGTTTACCTTCCCGCATGGGAGGAACGAAAATACAAACGTTCCATAAGCAAGCACGTTTAATTAATTTACACATATAGTTTCAAAGCCATGACTTCTATATGGGAGAAACATTCTTCGTTGGTCTTCCAGCCATGTTAAGCTGACAGGACGTCACAGGTGAGCAAAACGCTAGTGCTCGAACCCAGGCAGGCCCTACCTGAGGCCGGCTATCCCCATGAGCGCGCAGTACAGCCTGAGCAGCGCGCTGGCTTTCACCACATGCTCCTCCCTCAGGCCGGAGTAGGCCGACATGCTCTGCTCCAGGTCCCCCTCGCTGTCGTTGGGCACGTGAGTGCTCCTCGACCTGGGCAGGATGGCCACCAGCTCCAGAAGAAGCTGCCGCCTCATTTGCCACAGAACGGAGCTGCTTTCTTTCTTCCTCTAACAGACAGGGACAGTTACATACAGGAACAGCTTTAATGCGTGTGGTTCTGGAGGGATCATGGTCTTTATACATCTAGTCCAGCATTGTCCAGTCTGGGTCTGGGTCTGTCCCTCTGAATTCTCATTCCATCTGAGCTATGGACAATGTAAATAAGCTCATTATTGGCTTAAAGGGACCCGTTTAACAGCTTCTCTCAGCTCTTCAGGTGCTGCAGCTTTAAAGAGACCTACAATACCAGAAGACACACCAGCACTCCAGGACCAGGATGGGTCACATGTGATGTAGACTATATAAGTCAGGAGGGGCCTAACTGGTTCAGGGTGAGGGAGCGCCTGTCAAAGGCTGATAAAAAAATACAGGAACTGTTTACACTTATCAGGGGTGGCCAACCCTGGTCCTGGAGGGCCACAGTCCAGCATGTGTTATGAATCTCTGAGGATAAAATGAACAATCCCAGTAAGCACTTAAAGCAATCGAAACATCATCATACTGCAGTGAAAGGCCGAGACAAAAAGACCACCATCATTCAGGAACAAGCTGATGCACACCTCTTTCGCGCGTAATTTCAACAAAATGATCAAGACGAAGTTGTTTTAGGGAACACTTAAACTCCACTCTCCCGCTCTCCAGGGATGTCGAATTTGGGACAGAGTATGGTCCACCCACCTGCTGGCCGTTGCGGATGAACATCCCAAACCACGTCCGCACCTTGGCGTTGGTGCCCAGCAACAGGCCACTGACGAAGGAGACCAGGGGGCTGACGGCGTCGTCTGCGGTGTCGCTCTTGGTGTGGTCCAGCGTCAGAGCCACCCCAAGCCCCGGCAGGTGGCACTCCTCCACCTGCACACACAGCACAACCAGAGCCAGGGGAACCACAGCTCGCTGAACTGAGTCTGTCTGGTACCGCACTCATCCGAGCTGCTTGTGAATCTCTGCAGTTCTACAGATCTACAGTAAAACTATGAAGACACACCTGTAGCGTAAGCAGGGCCCCCTAAAGGGATTCCTGCGAATATCTTAAAGGCCAGAGTGAGAGAAATCAAGACGAGGGAAACAAGCTGGGAGTGAAAGGGGGTAAAAGGGTGTTGTAAATCAGACACACTAGCATCATTGGGTGGGGTACAAGATGACAAAGAAGAACAGTGCTCACACTCTTACTGTGATCATTTAGAAGGGCGTTTTTCAAAACTCGAAATGGCAAAAACTCTGATGCCAAAGATTTTATAGGGGCCGCTGAGCTACAGCCGCCCTCTCTAGATTCCTGGCTATTGTCCTGCACCAGGTGACCTTGTGAACCTCACTTCCTAACTGGCCAGGAGTCCCGGGCTTGCTGAAGGAAGAGAAATGCCCTACCACCATGGCGCGGATGTTGAGGGCCTGGGAAGGGTTCATCTGGCAGAGCTGTCGGAGGGCCTGTGTCCGGCGGCGTCCGCCCGCGCTCTCCTCGTCCTGCCGCTCCCCGTTCTTTATCAGCCCCCTGCACGCTGACCAGACACGCACGTTGGCACCCGCGACCGCAGCACACACGGCCCAGCGCACACACCAACGCGTGCTCGGCACACGCGCGGCACAGATCCGAGTCGTTTCACATGACGCAACAGGAAACGACGGGGGGAAAACGTTCAGACTTGTCCATCCCTACACATATAAATGCAATCTCCAAGATGGCAACTGCAACCGAAATGCTATTAGATCTTTGTTTCTCCCCATCGGTAAGGTATTATATTGAAGTTGGCAGTTTTGTGCTTGGAAAAACAACATGTACAAGTGAGATGGTGTTCTACAGACAGCAGCTAGCAAGGGTGTGATTAACAGATCTCACCCTGATGAATAGGAGTCAACACAAAATCACAATGATTTAAACACTGTTGGCACTTGCATTTTAAACCATGTATGGTCAATACATTAACTGTCCCTGACAAATCAGTTAACTCCTAGAAGTGATTCTGAATATCTGAATAAACGTCTCATGCAGCTCTACAAACAAAGTACCACCATCAACAGGCCTTTACCTTCATTGAAGCTGTCGGGGACGTTGGCCACTAGTACGCAGAGGAACCACTCTCCATTGCGAACGTGCAACAGCGCTTCTGCCACGTCTATGATGGGCAACAGCGATGGCAGCTCTGCACGAACATGGGAGGAAAACCACGCTGTCAGAAACAACACCCTAACATGGCGTGTTATTCAATTTTCATCTGTGTTTAGTGAAAATCAGCCCTGTGCTGTTACCTGTGCTCGTGTAAAATTCCTATTCACTATTAAATTTCTTTCTAAATAAAAGTTAGGAGAATAGAGCTGTAAGACAACAGTAATTCACACGTTTTTCCTCATTACAGTTCCTTTCTCAGTGTTCCACTCAGGACACAACAGAGTTGAATAAAATGCACAGGACAGCACTTATTAATCTTTCAGCGTATCAAACATAACATGATTATTAGTGTTCTGGAGTGAAGATCAGAAATTGAATCAAGTACTACCTGCTTGCAAAATACACAGAACATCCGCCACTTCTTCTAGATACACGGGGCTTTCGAAAAGCTCAGAAGACTTTAAGAAAAACTCTCCGTTTGAGTCTGAAACCTACAAGACAAAATCAAATCCCGAGCTGCAAAATGACAAAGGTACATCTGGGGACGTCTGCAGGCTTTCACAACTGCATGTGAACGGGCAAATATTACACTGCAGGAAAATGTAATCCTGTGTGTCTATCTGGAGGTAATATTCACCCTATTTGAGCTGCAACTTATGTTTAATTAGATATTTAAAAGGGTATTTTGTTGGAGATCCAGTTACGAAGAAAAGAAGAGGGTACGTTTATAGATCCTGCAGGGTTTGCTCCTGTGTACCAGCCAGGCCTGTGAGAGAGTCCAACGTCCTACCTTGTTCATTATAGCCAACAATTCGCTGAGTGCCAGCCTGAGTCTTCTAAGAGGATCGCTGTGCTCAAACTCCAGTGTCAGGCCGTGCTGAAGCTGGGATACCAAGATGCTGTCCCCGTTGGCACCACCAGGTTTGTGTCTGTCAGGGAATACACAAACACCAGGTGTCACCGCGCAGTCGGCGTGGGAAATGGGAGAAAAGCATCAGATCAAGACAATCTGGGTAGTCGTACACCGGCCTCTGAAAGGAGACAGCTCGTTCTCTAGCTTACTGTGTTTGCTGTGTGCAATATCAGGATGAATGGTGGCCACCAATGCCATTGGGGGGTGGGTGTAGGGCACCACCCCCATTACCTGAGCTGCTGCTCTTTCCTGGCGTCCTGCTCCAGAGCGTGGAAGTCGACCGACAGCAGCGCGACGATGGAGTTCACCGCTTCCACCCCGGACAGCAGGCGGAGGATGAGCTTCTTGTCCTGAGCCCAGGTGTGGCTCTGGTCGGCGGGGGCACACAGGGCCATCCGGACCAGGCAGGGCAGCAGCAGCCTCAGCTCGGGGTCGCTCAGGGCGGCCAGCCGCGCCACGTCCACCTTCTGCATGGCCTCGAAGGCGTAGGGGCTCACGAACTGCAGACCTGCGCAGTCCGACATCCTGGAGGGCTCCTTCGACCGTGAAAGGGAAAGAAGAGAGGAAAGAGGAAAAAGTGCTGGGTTGGGGAGAGAGAGAAACTCTTTTTTTATATAAAAAAAGACTTGCTTTTCATCACAGGGTCAGTTCAGTGCTGATCGATAACGCTAAATGTTATTTATTTTCTGCATGATTAAGGACGGTTTTCCTGGGGTTTTACAAAGGATTTCTAGTGTTGCAAAGTTGCTGCAGTTGTGATGAGAACCTCTTGGTCAGTCTATAGACGCTAAATGAGACATTTAAACCAGGTCTGGTTAAGGATAACCTGATGTTGATGCTAACCCGCTTTTACAGTATAGTACAATACAGTACGGTATTTTTTAAATAAAAGATATTCATCGATAACCGATAAAATTTGTCAACACTGTCCTGAGGTACAGTTTGGTTTAAAAAACACGATAAAACACAATTTTGTTAGAATACTGACAGAAAAAAAAATCGTTTACTGTAAAACTAGGACGTTTGAAGATCATCGTAAAGTTTCGGTGGTTGTAGTTACTCCGGACATTAATATAACGACGCAGAATTTAGAACCGGCAGTTTTAGGAGCTAAGCACACACTTTTCCATTTCTAACTATCCTTTCAATAGGATATGGATATGAATGTAATAAATTTCACTCTCTACATATTTTTGGAATAACTGTGTTTTCAGGAGTGTATCCTGCATATAGTTTTGCAACACTCGCTTCGACTCCTGCTGTACCCGAGTCACCATCGCACAGGTCCGAAAGAGCTAGTAGCTTTATTCCGATCATTTATCAAGCTCTCCGTGTTAATTAAAATTACAGAATTCCACATGTAAACGGTAAGAACCCCCACTCTCATTTGCTTCTTGTTTATTACGCTGCTCCTACGTGCATCTTACCTTACTTAAAATTAGTTTTTTTGTTGTTTCCACGAAGCGGTTGAGGCCTGCAAGCCAACGAGATCCTCGGACTGGCGTGAATCCCCCGTGCCGAGGTCCCGAGGTTTCATAGCCGCCTCATCTCGAAAAACGTTACTGGTTCCACTGTCTAGAAGAGGTACTTTATATCCATATATTTGATTTTTTTTTTTTACCTGTCCGTTTTTGCTGTATTCCTTCTCTTCAGTAAGAGTTGTCTTTTTACCGGGTACACAAGAAAACACGCTTTTCATTCATTGGAAATTAACAGCTACTCCAGCACAGTGCTCAAGAGAAAGCGACGAGGGGGAGGCATCGCTGCGTTATTTGCGTTTGCCAGGGGGCGGAAAATACGAAGAAGTCGTAAAACGAGAAGTACAGCGAGCAACACTCTGAGAAGCCAGTACCAGACGTGTGACCCTTTAAATTGGATACTGGGGCTCGGAACAGTAGTGAGTGACAATTAAATGTCGCTATCAATTATGCTGTAAAAACGCAGAATAAAATATATCTGTATCGGTAAAACTCAGTAAAAACACTAGGGCTCAGTCACATAAGGCAATCTATTCTTTGAACCACGCAGCCTATTCATCACTATTTATAAACATCCAAACCTTTAGGAACCACCTGACCTAGCCGATGTGGAAAATAAACGATGTGTAAGCTATTGTACACGCCAAACAGGATGCTACAAATAAAATTGGTAGTAAAAAGTAAAATTGGAGCACAGTGAATAAAATAAGGAAAGAGACAACATCTTAATGTCCGTCTACTGGGTTGAGGTGGGAGGGAGAAGGAATGGTCACGGTGTTGGGTCGCCACTGTCTACCCCCAGTGAAACTAGCCCTGAGCCGTCTTGGGCTAAATGAAGTTAACGGCGATGGGACGAGATCTTCCCACCCAATTCAGGCCGTCCTGCTGTGGCGCCACAGCTGCTATACCTATATACCCAGGTGTATCGGCGGAGCTGACACCACTCGCAAGGACGCTTGGCGTCTCAGCACGGAGAGGACAAAATGTGCTCTTCCTGTCTGAAATCGTTTTAGAAAATATGTATTTTTATGCAAGGGTGAGCAGACTCACAAGTGGTCTTGCTTCCCGAGTTCCAAGTTATTGATGGACCCCAGGTGCATTTTGCAATGACAATTAATAGCCCCTCTAATTTACTTTCAGTCCCTCCAGTGCAGCAGCTGTTAGGAATGAAATTTGAAACCTATTACCAATTTTTTATTTGATATATCGCATCTCGTTTAAAGGGGGATGCAAGGGGGGTAATTTTAACCCTTGCAGTGATGCAAGACCTATGTCAATTACGTACTACAGTATCTAAAACAGTTTTCAAGTTTCATACAACTCTACAGCCATATTCACTGTGGATTTTGGCCAAGTTCACTTTCCACTCTCCAATGGTTTAAATGAATGCGTGTGATCACATTCACACATTAATCAGTGCATATTCAGTGGACTTTGAAGGGTGAAAATCATATTCCACAGAACACAATGTCCAAGAAGTTAGAATGAGACACTGAATAACTGATCCCAGAAAACAGGAGGTTTTCACATTAACAGAAGTCTTGCTTGGAAATGATGACAAGACAAAACAATGGAAACTTTATGAATAAATTATTTTATTTTTCATCCGAAATTGTTTAAAAAGTATGAACTTTTTTCTTGTCTTTTAAATTTCTAACCACAATTTGTACAATTCTCAGCTTCCAGGTCTCTCTGTAGCTTTAGTGTTTCTCCATAAACCCCCCTCAGACTACAATTTGATTGTGGTCATAAAAGCATAAAATTGTCTTTTAACAACATCTGGAAAAAATATATATATCCAAACTAGAATTTTAAGAAAGCACTCCTGATTAAAGCAAATTTAAGACATTTCACAACATTATGCAGATGGTAAACAAAATGACATCAGAAAGTAAAACAACAATAAAAGACTATGATAGGTCCAAGCAATTCAAACTGGACACTGCATTGCCTTACTCACCACAAAAGGTAAGATTTCATGTTCACATTTTGACACCTTATACTGTTCTGAATTCAATTTTCAGCCCTCAGTGGACAACAGATGCAAAAAGATGTCTAGTAGTTATGATAATTTTGCATCTTCAGTGATTCTGTAATGCAACACTTGATACATTTGCCATGATAGAATTTTAAAATAAAATGATAAAATGAGGCAATCGTGAAAACACTTGTCTGAATAAGTCCAAAAATGAGAAATGTACACTTTGACTGATGCATTAGCAATTTCTTGGACCTCCATAGAACCATCGTTCTACAAAGTACATTTGAACATTTGGACCCGGGAAGGAGAGCAAAGCTTCAGGTAGAGAAAAAGGGGTCCAGATTATAACAAAAATGTTTACAGATATGTGATTAACAGTTTTGTTTGCTTCTTTAATTAGGTAGCTGTTGGCGAGAAAAAACTCACATGAATGCCCAAGCAAGACTTAGCAGATGCTTCACCTTCAACACAAGCACCACTTGCAATTTGTAGATAAACATATGAAATGCATACAGAGCAATCAAGATAAGAGGGATCCAACTGTAGTACAATATTAGTCACTGATCTCCATGACAAAGAGTGTAGCTCTGCTAATTTTTTGCAATCTTGCCCTCCATCAATGTCTTTTCAATAAGCTTTTTCAGAATGGAGAAAAGGCTCACTGCTTTTTTTTATATATATACACACGAGTTGTATGGAAATCAGTTTAATACCAAGAGCTGTTCTTTGAAGACTAAAGTTTAAAACTTGGGTCATTCATTGGTACAAACAAAAAGTCAAGCCCACCCAGCATTCAAAATGTTTCCAGTTTGACCTCTTATTGACCCCCTTTTTACCATGAAAAACACAAAAATCAAACATGGCAATTTATGGACTGCAAGTTCCTATTCATGCTCCCTCAAAAAAAAAAAGTCAGTAATGTACACTACAGAACTACTTTACCACCTCAATGTTGCTTTTTTGTTTTTAGGAAATCATACATCCTGCACACCATGATTGAAAATAAAATACATTAAAATCCAATCACACAACATATAGCAGGAAAGTGTATTTCCCATTTATAATGAAGAATGTTGAATTTGGACAAGGCTATGCTGGTGGGTTCATAAAAGCAATAGTCAGGCTTTTATGGATTTCACACTGGGAAAAAAAAACATAAGGATTCAGAAATAACAGTAAAGCAAAAAAATAAAAAATTGATGGGGTCCTATTTTATGAAGTTTGCAAGCTCATACTATGCCTTTTTGAAGACTGAACTATAGATTTAATAAAAAACATGAAAACATAGGCTTTTAAACCAGACCAGACCTGTTAAAATGGTAATCACTTAAAATTTCCACAATGAGAACCTCTGACTAATAACTGCCCAACCAATAGCACCGGGAATCCTAAAGTGAAATCCATGCTTTATGCCAAATCATGATTCTGATGGTCGGTATGCAGATATTAACGCAGATCCGGACACCGTGATGATCCTAACGCGCATTTTGGAGAAACATTAACTGCTACAAAAAAATTAGTTGCCACTTTGCACAACTTTTATACAGTAGAAACAAATAAAATCTGCTGACATCATATTTATTTTATATATATATTTACACACAAATTAAAGTGGCCAACTCTTGACCTTATATCAATGCAAAATACCCTAGCTAATTAAGCCTGTATTGACAAGAGGACTCTACAACATGAATGGAAATTAACAGGGCACTACTCTCCAGGAATTGTTTCTTCTGTAGTAGTTTCCAACCACTAACTTTTTAATGCATGAGAGAATCAATGGGTTCATTAGAACCAGTATACAGGTTTATTTCAGAACAGGGGAAGACTAATAGAAGCTGAACAAAAAGCAGCTAATCTTCCTCTGTGCACACAAACACTGCATATGCCACAGGCTTTTAAAATAATAATTAAAAAGAAATCATTTACACCACACATTTACTTTCACAATGTAATAGAAGTTGGTATGCTATTAATGTGGTCATGGCAAATCAGAAAGGGGGTTATCTTCCGGGATCTGGGGGCTGGACAACCAGATTGTTTAGCTCAGTCCCGAGTGGAAGCCAAGTCCCAGAGCTGTGGGGGAGTGGGATTTTGGACGGTCTGTACCCAGACAGACACCTGCTCCACTCCCGCTGCCCCGCAATCCCATTGCCTGCCACTGGACTGCTTTCTTAAAAGTATCACCCGGGACACCGTACTGCAGTCTTTGAGCGCGGGAGTCAACTACAAGATGTATCCGAGCGTGTACTTTCAGCTGTCGCGGCAAAAACTCCATCCGATTTCCTTGCTAAATTTCACAAAGGCATCCCTCCCCCCCCCCAATAAACACAACCACAGGAGAATTGAGTTGACGCACTTTATTCCTAAAACAGAAGCTGCACCGCCCATAGAGGCACAGCGTTTATATATAATTATTTATATATATTGCCGTTCGGTTTTTGTGTCTAAATGTGTGGTATAAAATACTATATACGACAATGTACCTCTTTTATTTGAATAAACACAGTGAACTTCATTGCTGTACAAGTACTCTGCAGCTACAGCTTAGCTGTAAGTCCCCCCCACACAAAGGCATGGACATTAACCCCCAACCTACTTCATCTGTACATCATGACAATACAAATTTCTGTCCCCCTTACAAAAAATAATACTCTAAAAGCAACCTACTGCAACTTTATTTTTTATGTGTTTTTGTTGTTTTTTAATTAAGACGATTACATATATTTTAGACCAATTGCTTTAAAGCAAGAAGGCAATATAAACCTTCTAGGATTTTTTTAATATATAAAAGAGGTTAAGAAATAAGACAAATTATACATTTAAAAACTTACAATAAATAAGATAGATGCAGGCATTTTCATTTGGATACAATACCATCCAAAGACAGGAATTTCAGGTCTTTACTAAGAAATGAATTAGTTTGTTTCATTTAAGAACATCCCTTTTCTTCCAGTACTTTAGACAGATAAGTGTAACGTGAACAGGCTATCTCCGATGTTACCATAACAAATACCATTTCTGCAGGGAGAGTTGTTCCAGTAATTACTTTGTAATAGATATCCCCATGATCTGCAAGTCATTTTATACAATAACAGAAAAGCTTACCATGCAGGCTCAATGGTACTTGTAAGAAACACCTCATACCCTATTCACTTGCATTGGGAGACAGTTCTAAACTCTATATATAAAGTCCAGCACTGTAGTAATCTGTCACGTCAAAATCCCTTCAAACATGCGTCCTCCCCTGGAAGGTTCTGCTCTGTCAATTATAGCATGTTCATGATGAAGTTGTACATCTGATTCAGCACCACAAAGTGAATAGGCAGACAGGAGCGCCTGTCCTGTGTCGCTGGGTCACAGGTTAGCCAGGAAAGGGCATTGTACTGTTCCAATACAAATCTACAGGAGAGAGGAAGCAGCATTAATTCAGGAGCAATGCACGGAATTGGAAACAGACTTTCACTGCACAATGTTTTCAGGAACTGTGCTCCCTGCCAAACATCACCGTCTTCCTTGCAAACTTGAAAGCTATTTTCACCTAAAAATGGTAAAAGGAAATTGACTTTTGTTTGAAACGTATGCTCAATCTTATAAGGATAGGCCAAGCACAAACAGCAGGATGTTTAGATAAAGCCTGCCTTCTTCAGAATGTTGATTATACCTGCCGTAGAACACTGTAATCAGTTTACGTGCATAAAGCAGTTCTTGGCTGAATTCTACTCATGCAAAAATACTAAATTTTTTGGTTTACAGTAAACTAAACATCTAAATCTTAAAACTTAACAATAAAACCAGTAAGACTTTTGTGGCGTTGAAGCCTAGGAAGCAGCTGAATTGCTGATTTGTGCTGAAGCATGTTGAAGTATCAGGGGCTGATCAATACCTGAGTACATCTGAGGTCTGGTTTGAATCCAGGGGATGGGAGTGTTTACTGTGAAGCAGCTCATCTGATTGCACTGAAGACACATGGAGGTGCAAAGAGGCCTGCGGAGAAGAGGAGCAAGGGTTTACTACAGATGCTTAAAAACCACTGTAATGAAAATAAACACAAATCACAAATCTCTATTTAAGCTATTAATTCATAAATCATAAGCACAAATAATGCACAGCAGTTGCTCATTTGATGTTTCATTATGTAGGGCTCACAAACAGTTCATGATTAAATATGCTCCCAATATTACTGCATCTGTTAGAATAAACAAGTAGGTAGCAAATAGGCCAAGAATTGATTTCTGTTACATACTCTTTGAAACGTAATGTCTTTAAGCCATCTAAATTTTGAAAAATAATTCTCACCTAATCATTCAGACAATCCATTGTCCTTTTGTTGGAATTTCAATGAAAGAGTAGCACAAATATGAAAAATAAAGCCTGGTTTCTTTCCCACATGTGGCCTTTTCTGATTCCCTGCAAGCTATTCCTACTTCGAAGTCCTTAATTATTCAAATGAAGTCATTCAAGAGCAATTCAATTATTAAAGAGCTGCTTAGAACGAAGTCCAGTGACTAAAGACGACACAGGCTGAAAGACTGTCACGAAGCATCAAGTCTGCCATCAGGCAGACGAGGGCGAGCTGGAGAGGGAGTCGAGAAGAAAACGCAGGGCACTTATAAAACTGAGGTTACCTTAAGGAAAAGGGGACACTGGTTCTGTGCTTGGGGGCAGGCTGCCCAAAACCAGTCTGGCAGAGGGCCAGCCTTAGCTGTTGATACAAAGTAGCCGAGAGCCAGAGGCTGCTGGAGGATATTAGGAGCTTCTTCGTGAGACTCCAGCCGGTCCGTACTCTGTCCCTGGGAGAGTGGGGAGAGAAAGATGAAAACAGGCTGCTTATTATGTGTATAGCTACAATGACCTTTTGAAATGATGACATTAAAACGGACGGCTGCATGCAGATAATATTGAGCAAAAAAAAACGACTCGGCCTGCAGCCGCAGAAATACTGGCTGTAAATTAACTTGAACGAGCTCTTTGGAGGTTTTGTCTAGCGCGAGACCGAAAGGAATTAAAGGCACACCTTGCTCCCATCTCCGCCATGGGGGTAGTGAGAGCCCGGCGAGTGCACAGGAGACGTAGTTGGGGACGCAGGCAAGATGTTGATGATGTCAGGGTCCACCAGGTCCTCTCCCGTGTCCAGCAGATCAAAGATGCCCATTCCGTCTGATCCATCTGGAAGGAGAAACCGGACTTAGCAGGGGGTTTGGTTCAAAGTTGAGTTCTCCTAAAGGATCCAGTGTTGTTCAAGTTCCTACGGGACTTGGAAACGGATGGAATAAGAAAGCATTTATTCTTAATAGTTAAGGTGGGTATCTGCGTCAGCATGCGTAGGCTACAAAGGAACAACTAATAGGTTTATTCCATGCTGAAAAGAAAGAAAGAAAACACAACGTTTCGGCCATGGAGCCTTCTTCAGGTGTGAAGTGTGACCTATTATTTATTCTTAATGCTGAGCTTCATTTCACATGTTTTACACAGTTCTATTGTAGCTAGTCAAGTGCAAAACAGATCAAATTAAGACATGAGCAGTTTCACTGAGCTAAGTTAACAGAATTTATCTGAAGCATTCACCTGTAACAAACTGGCTAAGATAAATGGCAAAAAACTGCATGAGTCACATTTCAATGCTGTTAAATTACAAGCCCCATTTCAAGAAACAGGCACATTGAAACTGAAGTCAGTTCAGATGTGTAACGTAGGCTCAACTGCCACACCAAACTGAGATGTGCGCCTTTTCCATGACTACACTGGAGCGCCCCTGGCGTGCGGACCTCACCGTTGATGGGGTTGAACGCAATGTCAATGTTCTCAGTAGTGTAGTTCGAGTTGGCCACCTGCACGAAGGCCGAGGTGGGAAACACGAGGATGTGAGTGCAGGAGGTGTCCTGCGGCGTGTTCAGCTGCGAAGTCTGCATGTTCAGTGTTGTACTGCGCCCGAACACGGAGCCCGTGGACACCGAGTCTGCAGAGAGAAGAGAAACGCAGTTACAGGCTGTTGGCAGGAGCAAACAGAGCGACAGAGGGGCTCGTCCTGTCTGGAGCCGCAATCTGGCCAAGTATAAAGACCTTCAGATTTAGTGGCATAAAAAACAAACCTTTGTATGTCAGTAAAGACATTAAGGTAATGCACTGAAAAGATTAAAGTATTTCATAGAGGCTTTAACAATCACACCAGCATCGCTGTTTTACACTTATTGCCGAATACGGGACTTCAGAAAATCATGTTACTTTGGCTGTGCGCTGCATTTGATTTTACTAATGATTTACCAGTATTATGGTTTTTTCTAATTGCTTCATCAAATCACATTCCAAATAGGTATCTCATTTAAAGTGCCCAATTCCCCAACTGTAAACCTGTGCCTTGTACGGAAACTCACATCTAGATATATTTCAATTACATTTTGTTCTGGTTTTGCGAGCACCTACATGCCTGTGGAGTTTATCTGGCACCCCGGGTGGCAGGGAAGTCATTCTCACTCCAGGCTGTGAAATATTACCTGGCATGATGACGAAGGAGCCTTGGGGCTCCATGGCGACTAGGCAAGCGCTGAGGATGCTGGGAGTGTCTGCTGCAGAGATGCCACACATCCTGCACATCTCCTTCAGCCGCCTGCTGAGAGACTGCAGATTGCGCCGGCTGAGCAGAATGCTCCAGTCTGCAAAACAAACACAGGGACTGTGAGCCTAAATGCAGGAGTAGCTTTATCCAACTCTTAACTTCCTCAGAGTGCAACTGAACGCGAGATTCTCTGGCTTTGTATTATAACCAAGCGATCTACTGTTTTAACTTAAACAGGAGTCTACTGGCAAGCTGTCCATCTCAGGTGGCTTTCAGTAAGGGAAATCTGAGAATAAAAAGTGAACGGGTTTGGGAATATCCACAGAATGCTTCCTGTAGAACACAAACATTTGGTACACAGGACGGACCCCTCAGCATGCAAAATGCAAAAAAACATGCCACATCTGTTCATAATGCACACACAAGCAAACTGTTAGAACATTAAGCACACAGAGATACCAGGTACAAGATACAAGGCAAGCTTGACAGACTTGCTCAATGCTGGAAGATGTAAACCGGTCCCTGTCTATGCTCGGCACGGTGCTGGAAAACCGCGAGCTTCTTTACCTCTCAGCTCCCCGTGGCCTATTCTGCCCAGCCGTCCTATGACGACCCTCCACGGCAGCGAGGTCATCTGCACCAGCCCCAGGCACCACTCCCACAGCTTCTGGAGGCCCAGTCTTCGGGCTGAGCCCTTTTTCCGCCGAGCCCTTCATTGACAACACCAACAGGAAGGGTCACCAAAACAGAGGTCACGTACCATACTGAAATAAGAGCTTGTTCAAAGGGGCACTACTTTTTAAAACTCCCTTTAACTTTTGATCAACAGTTCTACTATTACTGCAGCTCCTGAAGAGATGGTTATTTAATATATTAGGTTGTGTCCTTAGTAGTTCAAAGCAGGAAAATCCAGTATTGCTTCAGTATTGCAGTAAATGACCAGTGCTGTGCACAGACCGCAGGCCACTCACCTGTTGGGTACGTCAATGTTTATAATGCAGGTTTCCAGCAGTTCGCCGTAGAGGTCAGTGCAGGTGGCTAGGAGCCACTTCTGGTCATGAGAGAGACAGTAGCCCACAAAGAGCACGTTATACTTCTGAGAGGCTTCTCCGAAAGTTTCTCCCAGCTCCGTCTGTTTGTCCTTCACCGGGGCCAGGATAAAAGGTGGAGTATAGAGTCGCAAACACTCGGGCCTCTGAAAAAGAACCGCAAGACAAATATCAAAATGTGTCTACAGTGTTATTCAGCCTTATTTAAGCAACATACAGGATACAGAACACATAAGAACAAAAAACTGTCAGTGAGGATGAAAATCAACCTAAATTCTGTATTGAAGAATTAGTAATGTTCAGATTCCTGGAGCACTTGAATGTGGTGAAGTGGGTGTTTACCTCTGGGCTCTTGAGGGCTGTGTCCAGTGCTAGGCCCGGGCCGAAGCCGGTCAGTGTCTTGACGTTAGTGGAGATGGGCAGAGGCCGGCGGCACTGAGAGAACACCGAGAAGGCTAGAGACTTCAGGTGCTGGGCATAGATGTGCCGTTCATCGTTCTTGACCGGTTGTAACAGGTACTGGCAGGGAATAATCTAGGAAAACAAGGAGAAAATGTAAGAGAAGTCTGATTCCCAATTCCATGCGAAGTAAGAGGCTGACAAATTTAGAAAGTGTTCTACAGCGAGAAAGATACTTTAGCAGGATTTTCTTGTTTGGGAGCAGTTTTTCCAGGTTTCCCAGACTGTGAACAAATGTGAAAGGTAAGGCCTTTCTGACCTGCGTAACACGCAGAACCCCTGCGGTTCCATACCTGCACAGATACAGCATTCCTGATATGTGGTGGCAAGGACTGCAGCATCTCTAAATAGCAGCGTAGAAGGCCCAGCGTCCACACACTGGAAGATTGCGCACCGCCCTCCATCTCCTCGTACGTGAAAGGGTCCACAATGTACACCACAATGGCTGGTGGGTAGGTGATAGCGTGGGAATCGCCATCAGTCGGGACCCCCACCTTCTCCCGTTCCATAGTGCTGAGAGGAGAGAAAATGCAGGTCAGTCTAGCTGTTCTTACGCCATATGAGTGCTGATGTCAGAGAAACGGATTCGACCTCAGGACCAGAAAGCTTTCTATGAGCGTGAAAATCACAAAATCAAAATCAACATTTTAAACAATCTAAAAGCCTCCCAGGTATGGTCAATTTCTCTCCACCAAGGTAGCAGTTTCTTCTGTGGAAAAAGACATGCAATGGATAGTGTGCAATAAAAGGGTGATTCACTTGGAAAATCAGTTTTAGAATTTTTCCCTTGCAAATACCAGGAACAATTTTCTATTAAAGGACTGAAGGACTTAAGACATTTGAAAGGGTACGGGTTATTAAAACAATATTTCATTTCTTTCTGTGGAATGCTCCATGTTAACATCATCCCTGCAGCAGTCCTTTTTTAAACAGCGAACCCTACAAGAGCTTACCTCTCTGGAGGTTCAGCTGGCCCCTGTGTTTGGGCGGCGCCAGGCACGTTCTCCCCCGTGATCCCGGGGGCCTGTGTGCCCGCCTGCTGCCCCAGCGTCCCACTCTGGGAGGAGCCACTCTGGGCGCCCATGTTCCCAAAGGGGGGGAACGAGCTGGGCTTGGAGGACTGCAGGCTGCTGCCCATGCCCACCGGCCCTGAGGAAGGCAGCGTGGAAGAGGGGGTGCCGCTGGCGCTGGGGGGGATGGCAGTGCCGGCGGTGGCCGTCATGGTGCCGCTGGACGTCAGGGTGCCTTGAGAGCCGGGGGCGCTCACGACAGGGGCCGGCGTGGACGAGGACTGGCTGGAAGCTGGAGGGGGGCTGGGCTGCACGAGCAGAGAGCTGTCGAGCGACTGTGCGGCTAGGTAGGGAGCTGGAGAGAGAGACAGAACCAGCGTCACAGACCGGGCGTTGTCATCAAAGCCATCTTCTACCGGAGATGCTGAAAAGCCCCTTCTTTTGCTAATGCATCTGACAAACTAAATAAGAAATTATAGCTTGTCAATTAAAAACGCATCTTCCAAAGACGGTTTAAAAGGAATGTTTTCAGTTCTCTCTTTTTAACAGTTTAACAAAGGCTAGCTTGTCATGCACGTCATTTCATGCCCCTGTCTCTGCTGCAGTAGAGCAGACTAGCAAGCCTCACACCCTCCTAATCTTGGTCATAAATACCCACAAGCCCCACCAAAAGGATCTTATCGCGTACCCAGATCATGGCGACACACTTGCGCATACAGCTTGAGTTTGGCGAATGAATCGCTGTTGCTGCTGGCGGCCTTCAAGAACCAGTCGCTGACCGGTTGGTCTGCCAGCTTCTTGGCGGCGGCGGTGCCCACCCGGACGATGCCATCGGGGTGCGTTTTGGAGATGGGCCGGTGCTGGCCCAGCCGGCAGGACTGGGAACACAGCCGAAAATCACAAGACGTTAACTTCACAGAGCTTTAACAGTGTTTTAAATAAGAAGAACTGTCATACCACAAATATTCAATACGAAGAAAACAAGATAGTAAACAATGGCCACTAGGTGGCAATGTGGGTCCCTTTCCATTAAATGGCACAGTGCAGGCATGTTGACTAGACATTCCTCCTTCTGCATCAGCCTGCCATCATACCCATTTCACTGCAATTGTGAAATTCACAAGAGATTGATGAGGTTGTAGGTTTTTATAAAAAATACTATTAAAAATGATGAAAGCTATGCAGCGAAGCAATTCTGATATTCATATTCAAAGACAACTTTTCACTGCACTGGTACGCTTTTGTTTTTAAAACCCTTTATAAAAGTTAGCACTTAATGCATGAAGACACTGATTTACAACCAGACAGATTCACAGAGAACCTGATATCTTCAGCCTATATTTATTACCATGCATCAGACACCCAAAGAGGGACAGACCTTTTTTTCCCAACTACCGAAAAGTGAATATGACCCTTCACATTTAAAATATATATTTATATATATTTAAAAATATTTTGGCTCACGAATGAAAAACGGAACACAAAAACAAGAGGTACACAGAAGTGCCAGCACGCTGCCTCTTGCAGGTGCTCTGATACCCCCTGGCGGAGAAGACTTGGGCGGGTCACTGTCTCACCTCGTACACTGCAGTCAGGTCCCTGAAGAAGCCCTTGGCCCCGCTGAGCAGAGCCTCGTTCTCGGGACACAACACCAGGTACCCAACGTCCCGCTGGGAGCCGAAGGGATCCAGCAGCAGCTTCTCCCAGTAGGGCAGGCCGAAGGGCGAGAGCACCACAAAGTCATACTCGTACCCCACCAAGAAGGTGGGGATGGGCAGGGGCTCTGGGGACTCGTCTGTGCCTGGAGAGAGAGAGGGAGATGCTCAGTTCATCTGCAAAAACAGGACTTCAGTCTGCAATTTAATATCAAAAGAAAAGAAGGTGTAATACTCTATGTGTTGGACTTTACCATTAACATTATCAAGGCTTCTTTATTGCTCCTCAGTAGTGCACAGATATATGTTGCAGTAGTATAGTATGCACATTGCAATAACCAATTATTAACAAATACATTTTAGTTATCAGGTATTTTTTTTCTGGCTTTTTTGAGCAAACAACAGTTGTTGGCCATTAGAGTTTTCTTGTTGCTTTCCTACAAGGGGCTCCTGGGAGAGAGCCGGAGGGACCAGGGCTGGGACTTTGGGGGCGCTCACCGTAGGATCCCCGTCCAGCCATCTTGTGGAACTGCTGCCAGGTGAGGGGCCCCTGCACGCCCCAGGAGCGCACCGTCCTCTTCTTCTGGATGGCGTCCTGCAGCACGGGCTGGAGGGACAGCAGGACCCGCAGCACGTCCTGAGAGCACAGCATGCTCACGTCCACCGCTGAGGAGAGACGGCGCTGGTGAGAACGGGACCCGCGAGCACACGGCCTTTCAAGGCCTCATCTACCCTCAGGCCTCGACCTCCGAACCCACTTTTTTAAAGGACGCTTTGAAATCACCCTGTTATTCATTCAGACAGACATGGTGCAGGCTAGGCCTCTGAGGGAGATTCAGCACTGGAGAGGGGTGTGTGGACAGCACACCACAAGGACAACAGCTGTCCTAACAGATAAGGGTATCCAAAAGCCAGACACTGAATTTTAAACTGAAATCGAACTGTAAAAAGGAGGCGAACTGAAGGAAAGCGGAGGCAGAGTAACAGAGGGAAAGCAGCTTTACCGTTGCGCTTGGCCCAGTGATGCAGGCAGGTGCTCTTGACCAGGGCCTCGTCCACCTTGCCCCCGGACATGTTGTCCATGAACTGGCGCCCATGCTCCAGGGCCAAGTAGCAGTCGCTGTAGCAGTCCCTCTCCTCCACGCGCACGCAGGGCGGGGGGGCGCCGGGCCCCCTGGCGGGCGCGCTGTCCGGCTCAGGGGCGGTGATGGGCGAGAAGGGGTTGGTGCACTGGTCCTGCAGCAGGAGGATGAGGTCGTCGGGCACCTGGTCCCTCAGGCTGCCGGCCCGCTCAGCCGAGGCGCCGCTGCCGTGCACGGCCTCGAAGCGCTTCTCCACCTCCCGGCTGGCGTCCGAGCCGCGCCCGATGATGTCCAGCTCGTCCTCCAGAAAGAGCCCCGAGCCGTTGCCGTACCTGCGGTTCATGACAGCGCTGAAGCCGCAGGTGCAGGAATACTGCACCTCGCAGTTGGGGTCGGGGATGTAGACGCCCACGTCGGCGCCCTTGATGTTCATGTTGCAGACGCACACGCAGCAGCTGTCGAAGTTGCAGTCCTTGAAGAGGTTCATGACTGACTCGGACAGGATGAGGTTGACGTACAGGCTGTGGGCCTCTGGGATGGAGGGCACGGTGGCCGGCTCCACCGAGTTGAGGGGCCGGCAGGTGGAAGGGGTGGACGCGGGCGAGTACAGGTCCGAGTTCTCGTACTTCAGTGAGCCCTGGACGCTGGCGGGACCCCTAGGAGTGCGCGGGGTGCGAGGTGTCCTGGGCGTGGGCGCAGAGAAGCGGGGGGTGGCAGGGGAAGGCAGGATGCCCGTCCCGCCATTGCTGGGGGGAGCACTGTTGGACATGAAGGGTGTGTGAGTCTGTGGCGTATACGTCTGGATGTAGTCCTGGTCCATCGCACTGCCTACACTGGGGATGTTACTGCAACACAGGAGCACAACAGCAAGAAAAGATTACAGCTCTGGTCTCTGGACTCGCAGATCAGGTAGACTCGCGAGATTCACTTAACACAAGCATTATAGCACACTCTGCAATGAACCTCGCTGTTAAGGCTGCATTGTGTTCTGTAGCTCCAGAAAGGACAAGCCATGGTTGTTCACAAACAATGCTTTCTTCTGAACAATGCAGCTGGAAAGGTCAATAAATGTTCACACTAATAAATTCTGTTTGGATTCTCAACAGACTGCATACTTCAAGCCCTGTAATTATTTTAACAGTCAACAGCGTACACTGAGAATTTGTAAACTCACAAAGATCTGTGCTCAAAAAAAGCACTACCTTTAAGGCAGGGGTGTCTGATCCTGGTCCTGAGGGCAGGTGTGTCTGCAAGTTTTCAAGAGCTCTTTCAAGCAGTAACACCTGAAGAGCTGGGAGAGGCTGCTAAATTGGTCCAGGTAAGTCAGGAGCCAGCTGGCTGAGAGCCGGGTTGTAATGAAAACCCACAGACAGACTGGCCTTCCAGGTCCAGGATCGGACACCCCAATAACCGTTTCTGCAGTTTAGACCACGAAAGTGTGGATCAGCAGCCAGACAGCAACTAGCCCTTTAATGTGAATGACTGGATGGAACTTGGACACTTTGCTGTGCTGTTCTCAAAGTTAAAAGAAGCTTTCAGTGCAAAATAATATGGCTTTTAAAGTCTTTATTCAAATACAGTTAAGCACCTTAGGCTGTAAAAGTAGTTTGACCATCTTATAAACAGGATTCCAGCGACAGGTTTATTGCCTGTGAATTTACCAGCAAGTTAAGCACACTGCAAACAGCTCGCCAAAACAGACTTCTTACTACAGTTCTATTTAAGGAAATGTAGCACCCCTCCAAAACCCAGCCCCTTTTAAATGCTCTTATAAAAAATTTAAGAGGCTAAATCCACTAGGTTTGAAAGAAGCAATCAAAACTGGCATCTTCACAGGGAGACAAATGTGAAAAATAATGATTGAGAATGCCACCTGCTGAAACCGACGCTATATGAAGAGCTGAAACTCATGCACGAATCACAGGAGAGGCCTCGAAAGCGAAACTCCCCCTTCAGAATACAGCTCATTTACATTTACCACCAACTGTGAGAAACCGATTTTAAACTGAAATCAGGAAGCAGAATTACATCAACACTAGAGCTATAACACCTGAAGTATCTCCTGCTTTGCCTGTTTAAATTAAATCAAAGGCTCCAATCTCTGTGAGAAAAAACCTAGGTGAATCAGATCACACTGCCATCTCTAAAACAGATATGTTATGCCTTCATTAGATCTGGTTTCATTTATATTACATGCCTTTCTTTCAGCATCCCAGCTCAAACCAAGGCTCAGAGTTTTTTTTAGAGAATAAATATCTTAATTGCATTGCGGCTACCAGGAAGGTTTCATCGTAAAATATATATTTTTTTAATTTCTATCTTCTTGCGGAGAAAATCTTTTGGAAATGAATTTGAAATCCCCATTGGCTATGGAGGCTTTAAGAACAGTGCTACAACAATGCAGTAGCAAGAACCCGCTCTCAATTTCTGGTGCACCTCCAGACGAAAGAGAGGCAGAGGATGCCGGAGAGGAGAATTACCCGTCTTTATTGAGGAAGGTGAGGGCCGGCACCGGGTTGAGCAGCTCCAGCTTTCCCACAGTCCAGCTGGGCCGGTACAGGCACTCCTCAGGCAGCTTTATGGGTGGCAGACACTGGCTGGGCAGGGTCTTCAGGGGAGCAAACATTGAACAGCCAACAAATGCCTGGCACCCTTCTGGCTTGTACACGAAGGAGAAATCCTGAAGCCAGACAAGGGGGGAAAGACAGGGGTTACGAACAGCAGCCAACTTGTCATTTGCAGTAATGTTGTCTTTCTTTACAAAATGATCTTCTTTACATTCATCTTAAATAAGCAAAGGTGTGCAGAAATTCAACACAAACTGCTCCCGGTACCAGAGTTTGAGCCGCTCAAAGAGCTCGAAAAAGAGCCGGGACACTTTAGACGTACAAACACCTGGGATGCGGTCAAGCATAAGCTGTGAACATCACTAGTGAACCTTAAGCTTGACAGGAAAACCTAGCAAGGGTTTGATCGCATCGACTTGCTTTTTTTACGCTGGTTTGAGAAGATATATTTTTGGAGAAAAGCGTTAAAAAACAATCAGCTCCATCCTAAATCCGAGCGAAGACTTGGACTGGATTACCTTGATTTCTGATGGCTTGGGACTGCAGAAGCCTTCTTCCACCTCGATTTTGAACTGGCCTCCCAGCACGGAACTGCCATCCAGCACCGTCATGCCGGAGGCGTTGTCCAAGCTGCCGTACTCCTTGCTGTTCATGTTCATCGGGGAGTAGCCCATGATGTGCTGCTCCAGCGAGGGAGGTGTTGGAAACATCTGGTGCAGATCGGCAGAGCCTGCATTGCAAAGAAGGAGGGCGGGGGGTGCAAATGAACAAAACCTGCCAAGGAGAGACCTGCTGCTCAAACAGGCCTCCAGGAAGGGAGAAGGACTGCAAAGATGGCACACAATCCGCAGGATCGGAAACAAATTGTTCCTGGGGCGCTCAGTGCTGATGTGCTTTTGTCTCCAGCGCAGGACTGAGACAGCTCTGACAGCAGCATTACCGTCTCGTCTGATCTGGGGCTGTCAAGATGAGAGAGACGGAGGAGTCTGCCTGCACCTCCACACTCATCCCAGCCTGGGATGGAGGGGCGTCGCAGCTGCATCCCAAGATTTGAAAAAACTAGCCGACTCCAAATCAGGAGGGTATGGCGAGAATCATGGGCTTTTCCAATGCGTTAAGCATTAGAAAAGAAACTGCAAGTAAGAAATGCTCCAGATAAAAAGGATAAGCTATAAAGTTTATACAGAGCTGGTTCCAAGAACCTAGAACTGCTCGAGCTGGGAATAAGCAGCTCAAGGAGGCGAACACTCCTCTAGTCACCTCAGCTATACGGACAGAGCCAGGGCACTGAACATCTGCAGCAGCACGCCCAAGCGAACATGCTTTTCACTTTAAGGAAGACATAAAAATGAAAAAAGGAACACAGGTGTAATGTTCTTCAACCACAATGCGAACTGTTCTTGGTAAGGGTTAGAATCTGGATGCAAGTGAAAAGGCTACTCTTCATGAGTTCTTTGGAAACAAATGGCTGGATTCAGGACATTTGAACAGCGATCTTCTGAGCTTGAAGGACCCCATTTTTGTATCTGCACCCCACACTAGCTAATGTTAGAAAATATGGCAAATGTGGAGGCTAAGGTCACTTTTACAAGAGATCTAGAATCAGAGAAAATGTAACCTTCCATTCAGTCCACTAGGTGGCGACCTGAGAAGCTATTTCACAGGCTTTGTATTAACTTCCAGTGATATTTATGGTAAGTAACCCTGTCAGTCACATTACTACTGACCTCTCGATTCTTTTCACTACTTATAACTTATTCAGACATTTTCCATTCCTACACCTGTCTACACCTACACACCTGTGACAGAAATACCCGATTTTAAAAACACTATTCTGAGGTACCTAAGAATATGGCAACAATGTGAAAGGAGTTGATTCATGGCTATGAAAAATGAGAAACTGCACTTACTTATGCAAGAGAGTTGGTCAAGCGATGCTGGCTTTGCCTCCTTATTGCCAAATTTCTCATCTGTCCCATTAACAGCACGTCTGGCACCAGGCTGTGAAAAAACATCAATCTTTTTAACATGTCAACCCCAAACATTAACTTTGTTATAGTAACAACATCACAGTGCATGAAGAATCTTCAGCCAGGAACAGATGTCAAAAACAAGCAGCGAAAACCACCTCATCAGTCGTCGGTATGGAAACTCAAGACACATTAAAAAAAATTACTTAGAAACTTGTCTAAGCAACAGCTGGCAAAACCTTTTTTTGATTTTTATACAGCTAAAGCAGTATTAAACTGTTGTTTCAGGGCACCAGTTAAGGGTCACAGAAAAGCTTAGACGCTGACATTCATAAAGCCTGGCAGCAAGCCCCTGTTTCTATTCCAGCTAATGGCATATTTATTATGGTTAACGGTTCTCCTCCTGGCAGCTCGCTTACCGCAAGCTCGTCTTCGTCGGAGTTGAAGAGATTGTCCAGGTCATTGATGGAGACAGCCAGGTCGTTCTCGTGCATCAGGCTGGTGGATGCAGTGCGATTATGGGCGGCCGAACGCTGGGCGTCTTTTAAAAAAAGAAATCAAGGGGGCTTGAATCTCCTTAAGTATTCGCAAAACACGCAGCATTCACCCGTCTTGATATTACACAACCTTCTCTGGGGGGGGGGACCAATATTGAAAGATAAACATGAGAAGCACCACAACAGCGCAGGGAAATCTTGATATTATTAAACAGCGTCCACGCTTGTAGGCTTGGTACGTTACACTTTAACAAAGGTTTGGGGGAAAATAAACACATCTGCATGTATTCACGGCTCTTTGTCGATCAGAAACTCCTCCGGTGTTTCAAGGGCTTCACCCGCTCAGAGATGGCACCCTGCCCAGCGCCTCCTGCCTCCTCCCCTCACCTGTCTTGGCAGAGGGGCTGAACAGCGACATCGCGTCCTCGCCCTCCGCGGGGACCGGGCCGCCGTTGGAGCCGTCGTCCGCCTGCAACACAAGCGGGGACAGGCAGATCAGCACGCCGTCCCCACACGCCGCCCGCTGGGACACACTCGCCACGCACCGCCTCACTCCGCCCGCAGAAACGCAGGCTGGGGGAACGGCTCTCAACCGCTGGGAGTTTAAAAGCTGATGCGGGAGCAGTCAGGTTTAAGGGATCACTTTTACTTTCCACTTTTTTTTATTTTGCCCAGAATATACTTCTGTGTAGAGAGTTATGTAATAGAAGATATATTAAAAATACTGGCAGATAAAGTAGAGGGTTCATTTCCACACTGATAACTAAACCTTTTTGTTTGTGAAACCTCATTCTTTCGTGGTAAAATAAAGTTGCTACTGGCAACTAACAGTTCTACACAATATGCTTTCAATTGAATTATCAGGATTTATGACTTTAGGACAGTGTTATGGAACAGTACTTTAGTTGCAACAAAATCACTGTTTTGCAGAGGTTAATTTGTGCAAAGGATTCTCTCTTGCGCATAAGTGTCTAATTTTGAGCTCAGCAAACAACACTATGTCCAAATGTTTAATTAGCAACTGTAATTCCGCTGGGGCTCGTGTATTTTTCCAGGCAGTCTTAAGCAGCCCTCCCCACCCTCAGAACACGCACGCTAAATGAAAGCATTGTTTCCAGGCATGGGTCACTTGTGAAGTGTGCATGTTCGGAGCCCGTTTCCACAAATCCTCTCGATAAATATCTCAAAGGAAATGAGGCCAATTTGCAGGAAAGCTCAACAATTGCCCTGACCAAAGGACTGTCACACTGCAGCGCGGAGTGTAACTGGAGCTGGCAGAGAAGCTATGAATAGACTGTGCTGGTTCTCCTGTAAACACAAAAACTCAAAACTCAGCATTCTGCTCTGGGGATGCACTGCGTGAGAGCACAACCGACTCCCGCACAGTCCTGGGCATCTGCTCAGAAGAAACTGAGCTGCACAGCCAAGAGGAGCCGCGTGGTAAAACCAGAAGCTATAAAGAGGAGACTGAAGTGAGTGCAATTCAAAGGGAACACTTCAACGCATGAGGTATCATTTTATTTCAGGGCTAATTCAGCAATTCTAGCACTGCTGAGGACTGGCACTACTGTTATTTACAAGCAAGCCAGTTCTGCCCGCCAAGCTCTGAAAATGGAAATTTACAATTAGTTTTGATCCCGTTTTGCACTGCTTTCAGAAAAGGGGCAGTTCCCCCTACTGTTTCAGACCGGCAGCCTCCAGGTCTTAGGAAGATTTCACATTTTTACCCAGGGAAGGGAAGGGGGAAAAAAAAAAGGTTCACACTTCAAAGCAAAAGGAGGAACAGGGTTAAAAATAAATCCTGCGTTTCAAACGGCGAAATGGAAAGAAAGATAAAAACGGGTTGCAGGAAACTGACAATGGCCCTGTCCGAGCGGGCTTCCCCCGGGCGCGCCAGACGCTGGCAGACGCTCACGCACCTTGTGTTTCTTGCCGGCCTCCCTCTCCCCGCCCTGCTTGTCCTTCTTGTCCCGGAAGGAGAACTCCACGTCCCCGTCCACGAAGGCGTAGGGGTCCAGCTCGGGCTCGTGGTCGGAGTCGGAGATGGCGGCCGACAGGTACTGGGTCCTCCTTTGGATGTACATCTGCACCAGCCCTTCCGACACTTTCAGGGGGTTCTTGGAGGTGGCCATCAACCTGCAAACCCACACGGCAAGGCGGCGTCATCGCCAGGGACACAGGAGGCCGGGAAGACCCGGAGCACGGACGCCTCACGTCCTACTTTTTAACACGACGGACACACACCGCCTTTCACTAGGTCTCCGATTAGGGAAAAGCAATCCAAAACCCTATGCCTCTTTGTATTAAAAAGGTACAATATTGTTAAGAGGCAAACCTCACAGCAACAAATACATTTGACCGTGGACAAGAAGTGGCTTTTCATATCTCAGAGGCAAATTATACACAAGGGCTTCAGTTTAAATTCAGCCCCCCATTCTGCAAGCAATCTGCCACATTTATCACTTTGGTGAGTATTTTGCTTATTATTCCAGAAGGCTTGATTGCAAACTTGTTTCAAATCTGGAATGGCTGGAAAATGTGCCCTTTGGGTGAAATACAGGGAACGGAGGCACTGCAAAATTATGAATACAGGATGCCGGCAATCTCTTTTCCTTCTTTAAAATCCACAGGACACAATCTGTCTAGAAAAAATACTGCTGGGATGCACCCTATTTCAAAAGCATTCAGATCAACAGAACAAACTCCCAAATGTATTTTTTAAAAACATACACAGGGTTACAGATTTCTCAGCTTATGAAACATAAGAAAATGTTTTTTTCCACAAATAATCTAACAGCACATTCCTGAGAGGAACCAAAAGAGATCCTTGAATTCTTAAGTGACTGAAATAGTCAAACTTTATGCTTCAGTAAAGAGTAAATGTAAAATAATAAAATACATTAATCGCAAAAGGAAATTTAAGAGGCCGTGTGGGGACAACATTTCACAATCCATGGATTTCTTAAAGTGCCAACTGTAAAATGAGCAGCAGACTGCCCAGGTAATGAGTTAAAATTTAGGAAACAATCTCTTTTTAATGTCTTACATGTGTATTTTTCATATATTTTTTTAAAAATCACACTTGCGGTCCATTTCCCTTGATGGCGACAGTATTGATTTCAATCTGCTCTTTTTTAAACACGATTTTGCCCCTAGGCACAAAGGCATTCACATTTCTAACATTCTTCTGCACATCCAGTTACAATTGTGTGCTGCAGCCTGCAGAAGGCAGATGATTATACTTGTGAGCTAAATACTAGAACAGGCTGTGCTCTGCAAAATGCAAGCATTTATCGGGAAATTCCTATGCGGAAACATTTCCATTAGTCTGCTCTTTCAGGAAATTCAGAAAAAAAAAATAAGGGGCTCCTACATAACTCGACAGTTGACTGGTAAAGGTATTTTTATTTTTAGTGTGGGTCTGCAGCTGCAGTTCAGGTTGTGGTTTGAGTCTGGGCTTTATCATTACAGAGTATGATCAGGGACTCCCAGTCTCGGGAGGCTTGATTCAGCCAGGGCATCCTACACTTGGCAAGTGTGCCGTCCTGTTCGAGCAACACAAATCCTGCCACTGATGCCAGCACAGCTGTAGGCACTGTGGGCCTCTGTATGACAAATGGCAGACAGCTCCGACAAGTACAAACTTTGGAGCAGCCTCATAATCAATGCGATCACATCTTATCTTGTGGCACATCACAACCAAATTCAGTGTCTTGCGTCTGCTTTAAGACCCACGTTGAAATTTGAGCATTTCATTAATGTCAGAAAGACGCCTACCAGCTGTCCATTTCTGTAAACAGGTTTAAGAATGTGGATGGTATTTTTAAAAAAGGAATTCAGCTTTGTGTTTCATAGTGAAACTGACGGTGAAAAAAAAATAAACATCCATTTAAATCGCATAACCCAATTCAGGGTCGCGAGGGAGCCGGTCCCAGCTAGCTAAGGGCTCAAGGTAGCATACATCCTGGATGGGATACCGGCCCATCTCAGAAATAATGAACGGTGCTTTCCAAAAAATGTAAATGTTCTTCACACGACAGCCTGAGATGCCCCACTGTTTTGGCCAAACACCCTCAAAGAGTCTCGGGGATCAATGCGGACACGGGTTTTTCCTGTTTCTGTGAGGTGTACCCCAACGAGGAGGCTGTATGGACACCAGGAAGAAATTCCCTGCAAGCCGCACTCTGGGATTCACGTTCAAAGGAAATGCAGGGCAGCCCTTCCGAGGATTAAAGGGCTTTCAAAATGCCAGCCAAAGGATTAGCGCATATTAGAACAGCCCAGTTAGGTCCTGGAAAAACTACATAACCCTTCAGTAATTCCAATCGGAAGAATCGAAGATTTTTCCGAAGCACCTGGGCTGCCACCATTTTCCAAAACAACCAAATTACCTGGATTTCAATCGCCAGCTTGTTGAAACGCCGCTACAACATGCTGGGATACACTTTAGAACAAGGTGCCATGCGTGCTAAGCACTCCCCAGAATACAGCGAACAACAAACTGTACCCCACAGCCTTCTCTCTGGGGTGCTCTCTCTCTTGAAATCAGGGGCTGGACTCCAGGGGCTGAAACCTTGTCTTAAGTTACTCAGTGCCACTCATGGGCTATACTCATGTTTAATCTGCACTGATGAGTCCGATTAACAATATGGAAATAGTAGTAACAGGTCGAAACCTCTACATCCATTCCTGAAGCCGCAGGAATAAAACAACTGACCTTGTTAAATCACATCAGTGAAATTTGGACAACCATGGTCACTCATGTTTTGCCTGTCCGCACACCACTACCCATGGTGACTGCAGAATTAGGAGCGGCATGACATTTTAATATTTAACAAGACTACAAAACAATCCATCCCGGATCCAACAGAAACAAATCTGACAAATGAATAACTGCACCGCCTCTTTGCAGGCATCTGAGAACCATACTGCCCTGCTGCCCCTTGTGCTCCAGGTGCTGCTGAAGCTGCCGGCCGGGAGGGGAATGGGGGGTTGTGGGGGGGCTGGTCGAGCTGTGGAAGGGCAGTGTACTCACTCTGTGACCGACACGACGCTCTCCTGACTTCCCGTTCCTGGCAGGTCGTCCCGCAGTTTGTCTCCGGGTAGCTGGGGTGGCGCGAAATCCGAGTCCTTCTTCCTCGGCAGGATGAAGAACTTCCAGGGAGCGTGGGCATTATCCTCGTCGGGGCTGACAGCCGCCCCGACGTACACAGTGGGCTCCATCGCCTCGGAGTAGGCCGGGGGGAAGGGCTGGGCCAGGGGGTCCAGGCGGGGGTCCTCGGCAGGTTTCTGGGGGACCAGGCAGGGCTCGGGGGCGGGCTGGTAGAAGTGTTGGCTGTGCGGGGTGGCGGGGTTCTTCAGGGGCTCGCCCCC